TAGCTTCCTGAACAGGAGGAAGCTGTCTGGAAAATCGAAGTGTTTCTCCCTTGGCTGTAGACAGGGAAGTCTAAATGTCATACCAGAAGGGCTGTACAGCAAGTTTTAGCCAACTAGAAGGCGTTTGTGGGCCATTCTCTTTGTTGCAACTTCTTCATTTTGTAGTTGTAGGGAGGAAGCAGGCATAGTAATGCATGAGTAAATGGATGTATGACAATAAACTGTTTATAAAAACAACCTCTGGACCAGATTTGGTCTGTAAACTGGTTTATCAACCCGGATATACCACATTCCCTGATTTGGGTGGGGAGGACTTAAACATCAAACAAGCCCTTTAAAATTCTAAAATTTCAGTATTACATTGTTTAGACAGGGCAAGATGAAGAAATTCATTTTATGAGACCAGCATTGCTCTAATTCAAAAGCCAGACTGGGAAGTTCTAAATGATGCACGCATCATTTGTTAAAATATTCCTCTAGGAGGTGGTGTCCACAGCCACCCCACCTTCAGCCATCTCTCTCTAAGTAGCTGTAATAGAAAAAAATAATTAAATGAGATTTGAGTTTCACGTCCTCAAAAAATGAGAATGTCTGAACATTTTAAAAGCTGGAAACCTATACACGAATTGTGTGGCCCTAACATAAAATTTATATTCCTGAGTCAAGCATTTTCATGTATTTCCACATCTTTTTAAATGCAAAGTTCATAAAGATTGGATATTTTTATATTGGGCAGCATGTTTTGGTATACATATACATTGTGAAATAATTACTATAATCAAGCTACCTTCTACAGCCATTATCTCACATAGTTATCATTTCAGTGTAATAGTAAAAAAATCTATTCTCTAAAAATTATTATTATACAATACAGTATGCTACCTATAGTCATAATGCTGCTGTACATTACGTCCCCCAATTTATTCATCCTACAAATTGAAATTTTACACCCTCAACCAACATCATACCATCCCCTCACTCCCATCTTATACCTTATCAACCACAATTCTTGTTGCTGCTGTGACTTCAGCTTTTTTAGATTCTACATATAAGTGTATCTACTCAGATAATCATATAAATTTGATTCATTCCGTTAATGTACTGGGTCTCTGTGTTGCTGTAACAAAATATCTGATACTGGCTAATGTATAAAAAAAGAGATGTATTTGGCCCATAACACTTGTGGCTGGAAATTCTAAACATTATGGCGGGAGAGTCCTACCTGTCACCTGGCAAGGACCTTTGTTGCACCATAACATGGTGGAGAAGTAAAAAGATAATCAGCCACAGGTAGAAGGAACACATGTGAGGGAAGAAGCAAGAAAGATTTAAGGGAGATGCCAGGCTTCCTGTAACAACCACTCAAGCAGAAAAGTCCTGGGACAGCAAGAATGCACTCTCCAGAGAAAAAAGCCTTAAACCCTCCTGAAGACCTAAGCACCTTCTACTAGGGTTTACCTTCTAAATATTCCACTGCCAATCAACAACACCACACTCAGTACTAAACTCATGAACCTTTGGGATCAAATCAAGTCCAAATGATAGCATTTTAAATTTTGCATATTTTGAACCATTTTTGAAACCAGTGATTCGTTCCACTCAATCGTGGTCTTTTTAGTATGTTGTTGAATTTGGTTTGCTAGTATTCTGTTCAGGAGTTTTTTCATCTCATTCATCAGAGATATTGACCTGTGTTTTTCTTTTCTTCTAAGGTCCTTCTCTGGCTTTGGTATTAGAGCAGTGCTGGTCTCATAAAATGAATTTTGAAGTTTCCCTCATCTTCATCTTTTATAAAGAGTTTGAAGATTGATGTTCATTCTTCTTTAAATATTTAGTAGAATTCACCAGCCAGCAAAACATCAGGTTCTGAGCTTTGCTGGAAGATTCTGATTTACTGACATAATCTCCTTACTCATTAGTGGTCTACTCAGATTTTCTGTTTCTTCATAAGTCAGTCTAGGTTGGTATGTTTCTAGGAATTTATTCATTTTCTCTAGGTTATCTAATTTGTCAATATAGCTTTTCATGGTAGCCTTTTATGATCTCTTTGCATTTCTTTTTATGTTTTAATGTTTCCTCTTTCACTAATAATTTCACTTATTTAAGCCTTCTGTCTTTTTTTTCACAGTTTAATTAAAAGCTTCTCAATTTCTGTTTATCTGTGTGAAAACAATTCTTGGTGCCATAAAAACTTCCTACTCTTTTTCTAGTATCTGTTTTATTTACATTTGATCTGATATTTATTTCCTCCTTTCTGCTGACCTTGGGCTTGGTTTGTTCTTTTCTTTCTCATTCCGTTTGGTTTAAAGTTAGGTTGTTTGGTTGTTTTAGATCTTTTTGATTTTCAAATATAGGTGTTTACTGCTAAAACTATCCTTCTTTCTTTGAACTGTTTTTGGTCTATAGCATATATTGTGTTTCCATTTTCATTTTATTTTCTTTTTTATTTCTTCTTTGACTCATTGGTTACTCTGGAGTATGGTGATTTCTATATATTTGTGAGTTGGCAAGTTTTCCTCTTGTTGATTTCTAGTTTCACACCATTGTGGTTGATATGGTTTTAATCTTCTTGAATTAATTAAAACTTTGTTTTTGGGTTGATGTCTGATCTGTCCTGGAAAAATCTTCCATGGCTTGTGAAAAAGATGTTTATTCTGCTGTTGATAGGAGAAATATTATGAATATGTCTCTAAATGATCTACATACATATTGATGTAAGGTGCTAAAATTTTCTATACCTTACTGATGTTTTCATCTGGATTGACTGTCCATTGTTGAAAATGTATTGTTTTTCATTTCCCTTTCCATTTCTGTTAATATTTTCTAATATATGTAGGTGTTCATACATTATGTGCATATATATTTACAATTGACATGTACTCCTGATGAATTATTTTATCAGTATACATAGTAGTCACCTCTTCCACAGACAATAAGTACCTGAAATTTCAGATAATACTGAGCCCTGTAATAAATACTAAATGTGGTACCATGACAGTTGACAGCTGAGATGGCTAATAAGTGACTAACAGTGGGGTGTGTATACAGTATAAATATCCGGGACAGAAGACTAATTGATGCACCAGGTCCAACAAAGTGGGGCATGAGGGAAAAGACTTCTTCTTGCTACTCAAAACATCATGCAATTTACAATTTAAGAAATGTTTACTTCTGGGATTTTCCATTTAATATTTTTAGGTTGTAGTTGACCAAGGGTAACTGAAATCCCAGCAAACAAAACTATGCATAAGACAAAACTATGGTAATGACCTTATGACAGTTTTTGCTAAACTTTGTCCAACATAAGGATAATTTTCTCATCTCTTCTCATTGCCATTTGAATGGGAATCTTTTTCCATTGCTTCACCTCCAGCCTGTTTGTGTCCTTAAAGCTAAACACAGGCTCAGTAGGCATTGAGCATGCTTTAAAAAAAATCTATTCAGCTATTCTATATCTTGATTGGGCAATTCAATCTTTGTACATTTAATGTAACTATTGAAAGTAAGAACTCAGTAATACCAATTCTATTTTAATTGTTTTGTGACTGCTTCAAAGTTCCTTTGTTTCTTCATCCTCTTGTTGTCTTCCTTTGTGATTTTTTTTTTTGTCATGGTATGTTTTGATCCTTTTATCTTTTTTGTGTGTTTGTTACAGATTCTTTGTGGTTTATGGTGCTAACATAAATATCATAACTATAACTTTCTATTTTAAGATGATAACAACTGAATTTCTACTACATACATAAGCTCTGCATTTTAATTTCTCCTTCCTCCACATTTTGTTATTTATGCCATAATTTATATCTTTTATATATTACATATCCATTAACAAATATTATAAGTCTTTTGATGTTTTTTATTTTAGTTTTATGGTATAATTAAATGATTTTGTATAACCAATTTAATAGTAAAGAATTCTGAATTTGACTATGTTAGTGGAGATTTATTTTAACATATGTTTCATTTTCTTTTGCTTCAAGTTATGCACTTCCTTTAATATATTTTATAAGGCAGGTCTAGTGGTGATAATCTCACACAGCTTTTGTTTATCTGGAAAAGTTTTTATCTTTTCTTCCTTTCTGACAGTCAACCTTATTGGATATAGTATTCTTAGTTGGCAATTTTTCCTTTAAGTACACATGCTCCTCATTTTAAAATGGGATTGTATTACAATAAGTTCTTCATAAGTTCAAAGTATCTCAAGTAATAATGAATTTAATATGACATACATAACTGCTTAACCACATAGTACATTGTAGAGTGTTGGTTTTGTTCCCTCATGACCACATGAGGGAGTGGGAATTGAAGATAACTGCTGCTCTCCAGCATCCTCAGGATGAATCATCATTAGCTTCTGAAAAGAATCAAATTCAAAATCTGAAATATGGTTTCTACTGAATATATATCAATTTTGGACCATTGTAAAGTGAAAAAATGAAACTTAGGGACCATCTGTACTTTGAATATGTCGTACTCTCTCATGGGTTATAAGATTTATGCTAAGAACTCCACTGAAAATCTCAGGAAGGATCCCTTATATGTGACAAGCTACTTGGCTTTTGTTGCTTTCAAATCTATTGTTGTCTCGGACTTTTGAGAATTTGATTATAATGTATCTTGGTAAATTTTTTAAAAAACTATTTGATCTCTTCGGGGTTTTATTTGGGATTTATTTTGGGCTTCATGGATCTGTACGTTCATTTCCCTCTTCACATGTAGGAATCACATTTGAGAAGTCTTTTGTCATTTCTCTAAATAAGCTTTCTACCCCTTTCTTTTTCTCTGCTCCTTCTGGGACTCTCAGAATGCCTATTTGTTTTCTTGATTTTCTCTTGCAAGTCTACTAGGCTTTAGTCATTTTTTTTTCTTTTATTCCTCTGAGTAATTTCAATTGAACTGTCTCTGAGTTTGGTAATTCTTTCTTTATTGAGCTGACTAGCTTGTTTGTATTGTTTTCTTCATTTTGTTTGGTCATCTATCCATATTCACTTTTAGCTCATTGAACTACTTTAAGACAATCATTTTGAATTCTTCTTTAGGCAGTTATGGGCTTCCACTGGTATAGTTTCAGTTATTGATTGGTGTTTTATTTTGTTCCTTTGCTGGTGTTATTTTCCCTGATTACCATCCTTATGGCTTTGTACTGTGTCTGGACATTTGAGAAATTAAGCACTTTCTTCAAACTTTAAAGACTGGCTCCATCATGGAAAGCCACTGATCAGCCCATCCAAAGATTCTGAGTGGGCCATTTGGTGGGGGCTAGGGGAAGGGTAGGAATGAGAGTCCTTGGGCAGACTGGCCTGGCCCAAAAGCCCACGAGTGTGGGCCTGGTGACTGTCTCAATAGGGTTATGCCTGGAGCCTTGGTTCATTGAGGCTTCTAGTATCGTGTGTGAGAGGACTGACATGAAACCTGAGTTCTAGATTGTTGACTTGGTATGAGGATGGAGCATAAGCTTGACTCTACAGGGACCAGCCTAAGCCTGGGACTACAGAGGTTTGTAGGCACACTGTGGTAAGCCTGGAGACTGGGTTTTCAAGTTCCAGGCTGGAATCTGGAGTTGCAGTGGCTAACCTGCTGCTAGAACTTACTAGGGCAAGCCTGATCCTGTTTTTTTGACATACATACTTACATACATATATCTCCTTCCTTAATGCAGAGGGAATCTGCATGCTTTGCTGCCCAGACTTGGGAGCAAGCCGAGGTGGAGGATGTGAAGCTATCTTTCCTATGATTATAAATGCATCTTTTCTTATTTCTGTGCTTGAACCCAGTGCTTTAGCCTCTCACTTGGATTCCTTAACTCTTGGGAAGATAATTTTGTTTGGAAAGTTTTTCACATTGATATTTCTGCAAGGGGATAAATGTTGGAATTCTTATTCTGGCATCTTGTTGAAATCACTCCCTGAAACAGTTAATATATTAAACAAATGAACACAGGAGTAAGATGTTCATGGAATGTATTGACAGGACAAAAAGCTGAAACTGCTGGCAGAAACCCAAAGTCAATATTAGAGCCAAGCAAATATTGTCTGCAGTGCCACAGGGACAGCTTGAAGACTGCTCATTTTTAAGTGGCAAGAGATTCCCTCACCTGCAGAACCATAGACGCAATTGTGTTTTCAGGTAGCAAATTTGTATTATTATGATTTCTTTTAAATACAGTGTTTTGTTTTTAAGTATAATTTTTATTTTGTGAAGAATCTATTAGTCTGTGTTCTAATTTCCTAAGAAAGTCTAGAAGGAACTTGGTATTGTTGTATATGGAATCTAAATAGAAAGTATTTAAATATCAAGGATAATATTTGATTTAAAAATTTTAAAAGGGTTTGAATATTTTCACAGATTTTCTTTATGTAGTGATTCTGGACCAGCATTATCATTTTTTGCAATGATTTATTTTTGCTTAAATCTTGAGGCTTTTATAACTGTTAAATTCTTCTCTCTCAATTCTCTTCCCCAAATTATTAGCAATAGAGGCGAAAAGTTAGCAATCAATGTAATAAGAGTCTGGGGGTGTTAATTTGTGTCTGGGGAGGATTATAAAATTTCCAAGTTCCTAGACACAAAAAGTGCTCCTTAAAACTCCTTATTCTCTATTTGGATAGTTGTGTGCTTTGATTTGAAATTTGAACATTTACAAGAAAATCTGTATCTATATTAATTTAAAGTTTATGTTAAATATATGTTAAATATAGTCTAAAGCTAGCAGCATTATAAATGAGTTGTTTCTTTATTTTTTTAAGGATGTTTACCTTCAAGAAAGCAGCTTACTTCATCTGTTTGTTTGGCACAGTTTCTTGTGGTAAGTAGATCATCTGTGAGAGATAAAATCAAGTAAAGTAAAACTCATCACACTGGGAGAAAGCTTTTGAATATGTAGCATTAAGGAAGGAGGCATCCCTGGATCATTCCTTTTATTGTCTCTGTTTAGTGTTTGGAGGCAAGAACTAATTCTCAGATATATTACCTTAAACACAGGTTTAAGGAGGAGGAGCCCAGAGTGAGAATGTCTGATGGCTCATGGTAACTACAGACTTCTGTTTGGAGACAACTCTCTACACAACAGATCCTCAAATAAAGTCATTCACCTATGCTCATTATCAACATTTTAAAAGTAAGCTTTACTTAGAAATTAAAAGCACTATGCATTTTATGATGTCTGGGTCCATTCCAAGGATCTGACAGGAACATGATACATTTACTCTAGGCAACTGGGGAAATACTTAAAAAATGAAGATAACTGGTTTAAATTTAACTTAGTAAACCTTCCCTTTTATATTCTAGGCAAATAGTTTTTAACCCTGGATTTTTATGTCATTTCTTCCTCTATCTAGTCTATTAGTTTTCAAGTGACTCTGGACCTTCATTTTTATTAGTCATTGTAGAAAAGAGAGATTTTCCCTGGGCTACTTCTAAGGGGTCAATTCTGTGTCTATGATGACTTAAAATGATCAAATCAAGATTGTTTACTTACCTCCCAGTTGTCTGACAGAGAAAAAAAAAAAACTCTGGGTAAGGTTTACATTTCTACAGAGAAATAATCTCTTCAGAAACAAGCTCTTTAATCTCCAAATCCTATCTTCCCTACAATCTGTCCCCTCAACCCTAATCACAGTCTTTACCATCATCATTGCTAGGTAAAAACCAACTGAATTCTAAAAAGTGTAAGCCAGAGATTTTGTGACGCACACCTACTTCAAGTTTTTAAGGATAAAAGAAAAAAATCACAGTTATGCAAGGGAAATTAAAGGCATTAATACCCAGGAAATGAGACACTACATATAACATGTAGTCCCCAAAATCCAGAAAGTCATTTTAAAAACCCTTTGATCTTTTTAATATTTTGTGTGTGTCTATTTATGCATTGTACAAAAGTGATGTTAATTATAGATACTTTAAAACTTACTTTTGCTATTTATAAGTATCTTTAACTAAATACATATATTTTTGGTACCTTATCATAGTATTTTTGTATGTGCATTGTTACACACATATTCAGTTATATCTGTAGATTAACCCTTCGGAAATAATAGTACTAGATACAAAGGTGTGAATAATTTTGAAGGTTTTATGACATACATCATACAATTATCTTCCAGATGGGTTATTTTCTAGTTGCCTCTTCTCACCAGCATATGAGAGTGTACAAGTGTCAAACTTAGGCCAACTCTAATATGCTTCTGTTGCTTTATGGCCTAACACACAGTCACCTTTCTAGAAGCAGTATGGACATTTATTTTTGGAAAACTCTTTCCTCCCACTTTGGGCCCATGTTCTTCTGGTGAAACTGCTTCCGATTTTGGTACTAGAGCTGGAGCTTAGGACTCAATCAGACCTGACTCAGGAGATGCACATATTTTGCTGGCTGCAGTGGACCAGTTAGAGTCCAAGCTTTGGAACCAGATTTTTGCTTAGGAGAATACAGAAACCTGAGCTACTGCTACCGTCTTTCTACATGGAGCTTGAGACCAATGGCAGCACTGTAGAATGAAGCAAATAGATACAAATTGCATACTGATGCTATCCTTTGAGCACACTGTCTAGTTATCCCTGAAGCCAGATTCACCATGCACTTTTTGGCTTCTGACCCAATACATTTTATTTGTACTCAAGCCACTTTTAATTACATTTCCTATCATTTGCAATCAAAATTGATTATTTAATTTTTAATTTTTGCTAATCTTGTGAATATAATTACATGTACTTGTTTTAACTTTTATAAATTTATGATTCTTATTAGTTTTTATTTCTTATTTCTAGCCACTTTTTTTGGTAAATTGTATTTTTATATCTGTCACCTAATTTTTAAAAATTAGAGTGCTTTTCTTCTCTTTTGATCATGTAATTTTTAAACAAGCCTGAATAACCTGGACATGACACAGGGATTTAGGTGTAAGTTGAAAACTATGATTATTATGAGATAACTTGTTACAGTGCCTTGCATACATTCCAGAATAAATCACAAAGCTATAACTGTCATCATCAGCATCATCATCCTCACAAATGTGTGATAATAAACATGAACATTTGCTAGTACTTTCTTCCCATTCAGTTCCAAAGCTCATGAATTACTCGTTAGTGTGACCCCCTTCCATCAGCTGAGTCACATGGAAGCTCACAGAGATTCTTTTGCAGAATGGGAACTCCCAAGCTACCGCTGATCACCATTTGTACCCTTGTATGTGCATTGGAATGGGACCAAGTTGGTCATTTGATAATTAAGACTCAGCTGAAAACACCAACTTCTAAAAAACAAGTGTGTTTATAACAAGCATTTCTACTGGACCAACTACTCAGTGTTTTGTGGACTACGAATCCAAGAATACACACTTGGGAGTTTGTATTCCCAAAAGCTTCTAACTGAAGAGATCTGTGCTGTTTCCAAATATAAACTTTACCCAAGGGATGAGCATCTTAGCCACACCCCTGGAAGGAAGGCAAGCTGTCATGCTGAGTTAAATCATCAACGTGAAGTTCCAGGCCAGAATCCCCAGGCAGGTAGAGTAGTTCAGAGAAAACATTAAATCTTCAATGCTTAATGAAATATCTGTTGTCTAGCCTGCCCATTCCTTGAAAGGTTAAACAGAGAAAAGAGATAGTATTTACACTGAAGTGTGAATACTGCGTTAAGGAAAGGACAAGATTTTTACTGGAGTATTGCATGATTAATGGACAGGTGATTGATGAAAATGGGTGTGCTGCCTCAGTAGAAAACTTATTAAGAAGATTTTGAATTGGGTTTTCTAAATCTAAATTCTAAAGGTAAATCTAAACTCATATATTAAAGCCAGAAAAGAGATTCTCTAACAAGATCTGGTATATACAAAGTACTTTACAACAACAATTATTCCAAAGAGCAAATGGCTCCAAATTTATTTCCAGTTTAGTATATGCATGCATTCCCTATCTATCTAAAATCTGTTTATTTATTTGTTTGTTTATTTATGCTTTACAAGTGACTGAACCCAGGACCTTTGCACTGAGCTACATTGCCAGCGTTTTCTATTTTTTTGTTTTGAGACAGGCTCTTGCTAATTTTCCCAATTTGGTCTTCAACTCCTATCCTTCTGTCTTAGCCTCCCAGAGCGCTGGGATTACAGGTGTGTGCCACCACTTCCAGCTTTAAAAATTAGCTTTCAAAAGTAAATCACAACTCTTAGTTTGTGTGAATTAAACAGAGATGAGGAAAAACATTTAACAGTGCATCCTAGAAAAGGTGACAAGATTGAAAATAAGAAAGGCTGAGTTTTTGTCCCAGGAGGTTACTAATTTTGTGAATCTTGGGCAAATCTGTACACCCTAAGCCTCAGTTACCTAACTTCTTTTTTTTGGAGGGTGGGTACAGGGGATAAAACTCGGATCCTTGTACTTCCAAGGCAGGTGGTGGAACCACTGAGCTAAATCCCTGGCCCTAACTTCCTTTTTTTAAATTTTTAAGTCAGATGTAAATGATAAAGCTCCCCTTGTAAAGTTGTGAGAATCTAGTAGGGTTTCTTATTAGGATGTTTTTAAAATAGATCAAACATCATTATTTTATGGCATGATATTTTTATAGCATATTAACCAATGGAGAAATAGAGTTTGTATTTTATGTGCAACTTTTTGTACGATTCAATAAAGCTTATCAAAATTTATGTACAGAAGAACCTGGAAAATGAGTTTAAACAACATCATATATTTTGCAATAGTTGTCTTACTGTGCTTGATTCTGCCTTTATAAGTAAAGCCATGCTGCAGAAATCTTTGAGGGTTCAGTGAGAGAAAGAAGGTAAGAAAGTTGAAGAAGTGAGAACATTAATGTATTTCTATTATGATTATTATTTTCATTCATTCCAAGTTAATTTTTAATGACTGTATTACAGGATGTCTGACTCAATGGTACAAAAATACCTTCTTCAGAGGGGGAGATGTAAGTGCCATGTACACCCCAGATGCCCAGTACTGTCAGATAATGTGCACATTCCATCCCAGGTGCTTGTTCTTCAGTTTTCTTCCAGAAAGTTCAACTAATGAGCTAACGAGAAGGTAAAAGTTTGTGTTTTCTCATAGGCCAAGTCAGTTATTTTTCAAAATGATAGAAGCTCAAAGGCCAAAAAAAAAAAAAAAAAAAAAA